GTATGTAACTCTGACACCTAGTGTTTAAAATGGGCACTGCAGTCCAAATTCTAAACATTGTAGAGAGCTGTCTCCTCCCGCCCCCTCCTCTCTAGAGTCAATGCTCACGCAGGTTGCCATGTGGTGGACACTGAAGCTTCAGTGTTTAGCCAGCTCTTCTGTCTGTAAACCTTTCTGTGTTCTAACCTCTCTCCATTTTTCAAAAGCATCTCCAATATTGATCCTAGTTTGAGCACGTTTCTGCTCGTGGAGCTTATTAGAAACATGCAGAGGCTTTTTAGGTCGGGTACAATCACTTCTATCTGAACCAGTTTTCTTGCCCGCTTCCATCGCTGCTATACCTGTTGGTTTGACCTGATAACTGGTCTCATATCTGGCAAACCGAAACAGCCGTGTGGGGGTGCCTTAAAACCACCTACCTTCTCTGGTCCAAACAAATCCAGAGCATACAGGACCAGAATCTAAAGTTAGAAGGAGGACATACTGGCTGCTGCATTGTTGTTAGAGAAGCCAGCACTTCAACATAGCATGTTTCCTTAATGTCTGATCATATGGTGGTTTATCATTTCACTCAACACACATCTTACTGGTTGAACCTAAATAAATATTTTCCAGACTCTGGGTCACAGTTTCTCTTTAAGAGGTGGTGTTGGGTCCTGAATCCAGGCCAGTTGAGAACCGCTGATGGTTGGTTTCTGGTCGTCCCTTTTCGTCTGACACGTCGATCGTCAGTCAGCTTTGTTTCCGTCCTGGTTGTGAGACATTTATCCGTATGACAAATATTCTGTTCTGGACCTCCATGACGTCTCCAGATGTGGTTACCTAAACTTTTTAACACAAACTCCCAGCCCCCACAATGTGCCGTCTTCAGCTGCAGTTCGGATTGTTAATTAGAGCGCCAAGACGGAAGCAGAGGCTTCAACTGAACCTGCTGAACTGAGCTCTTTGGATCCAGCTGAGGAGGAACCACACTGTTCTCACACACACACACACACGCGCGCACACACGCACACTCTACCTGATTTAAAAACCACATCTCTCCGTGTCGTCCCTCGTGGTTAAGAGCCTCTCTCGCTGCTCTTTTTCTTCTCCTTGAGTATCACGTCTCCGTCTCTTAACTTCACTCCTTGTTTTGTTCCGTCCGATTATTCGATACTTAACTCGAAATTCCAAAATGTGGTTTCATGTCCTCCCTTCATCGGCACGTTTTAAATCGACGATCACTGACCTTCTGTGAAATTTTTCTATTTTGAAAATGAAAATGTCCCATTTTCCAAATTGTCCCCGACTTCTCTCTCCGGCACAGAAAGGTCTCCTGACATTTCCTTTTCTTGCTCGTCTGAAAATGGTCCAGGTGTACCTCTCTCTCCAGCCGCCACCACCCCCCTTCTTATAAGACGTAAGAATTATTTCTAAATGATGCAGAATATTTGTGGTTAAACACAGAAGAGAAAAGCAGAGAAGAAGAAACATTCAGCTTGAATTGACCAGAAGTTCCTCCAGAGACCTTGAGATTCAACACATTTTCTTCGCTTTGAGTCGGAGGAACTGAAGGACGCCGGAGGGACAAAAGGAACCAGAAGTACGTGCCGGTTTGTTGGATTTTAAGTTTTCTGATTCACCAACATGTGAACAAAGGACATTTCAGAGACAGATAACAGATCGCTCGTCTGATATTTGTGACGGCCTGAACCTCAGTTTGAGCTGGCGCTGCATGATTTGGTGAAAGTGTGCAATAGCGATTAATGTGGACGATACTGACATTTAAGAAACGCTAAGAGTCTCCCTCAGGATACTCATTGATCACGTTGTTAAAAACTTCAGAGTTGTGTGGACGTTTCGATCTGGTGACACTACCTCAGTTACACCTGAAACGCTCTGATCTCTGTGGGAGGGTAAAGGTGAGCTTTCACGACTTTGTTCCTCTCGTTCTTCTGCTCGCCCTCCTCTGACGGTCTGGATTTTCTCCGACTCGTTTCTGCAGAACAAATCTCTGAGATTAACACCGGCCGTGTTTACAGGCGTCACTCTTTACGAGTCCTGTTTGTTTTCCCTACTTTTGAATGGAGCTGCATGTTCTCTGAGAGAGAGAGAGAGAGCGAGAGAGAGAGACGAGGAGTCTCTCAGCAGGACGTCCACGCCGACGTTAACCTGACTAAACTGTCGTATCATCTCACACATTTTATGGACTCAAACTTAAAGTCGAGGTGTGTTTTCACACTGAGCTGTTGGACGTTCTCCTGGTTTCAGTTCTGACACGAGATCTCGGTTTAGTAACACCTCGTCTCCTGCTGCGATTAGTCAAGCTGTTCAGGTCCGGCCCGAGCTTCAGGGTGGAGAAACTGTTTCTATAAAGACTGACCTCTGACCTGCTGGCTGGGGAACGCAGCCACACGATGCCCGACTGCTTACATTGGGACGCTTTCTGGCTGCTGCTATGTAGAAATTACAACTCTCGGCTCACAAATGTTTCAGATACGTCTGAGAGAGTGGATGAAGAATGAATCATCGTTGACAGGAAACAGAAATCTTTTTCTTCTTCTGCTGATCATTGCAGCCAAAAGAACACATCGTAAAAGAGAATAAAGCAGAATCATAAAGCAGAGGAGAGTCAGTAAATTACTGGAGCTGTGCAGCCAAACACAAACTACAGATTTAAAAAAGAGAGAGGAGCAGAAAGTCCTCGCTCTTAATGACCAGGAAACATCTTTGTTTTGGGTCTGCAGATGATCTGCGTTAACCAACCGCCTGTGGAGCAACAAATATGGAACAGGTTCCCAGATTAACGACGTCAGAATCTCATCCAGCTTTAAAACAGTCTCTCCACGTTCTCATTATAAGCTATTTCAACGATTAAGAGGAATCAGAGGAATCCAACAACGAGCACATCTCGGCTTCATAACGTCTGTGACTCCAGCTCATACGCTCGGTAAGATCTCACACTCTGAACCGTCATTTAGGTCAAATAAGAGATTTTTTTTTTTTTTTTTTTTAAAGATTTATTTTTGGCCTTTTTTTTGCCGTTCATTTATCGGTGTTACTTTCCACGGTCAAATGATACCAAAATAACTGATGCGAGTCCTACTTTTTTGCGACCCTCCTGTTGGGGTGCCAAGTCCACCGATCCGACCCTAATGGGCGGAGCTAGACACACTGCAGTCTGTCGATTGGTCGAAAGAATTGCCGCTTCCTGTGGGACAGTGTTAATAAAGGACAAACACAAAACGCGAGATGTTTAAATATCCCGTGGATTTCAAGAGAGATATTCTGTTTTTGTTGTTTGTGAATAATGTCAGCGAGTAGTTTCCCCCCCCATGGACGACCTCAGAGGTGACGACCTCTACTGGACATTATGTAAATGATGATCCTGTTTATAGTTAAAAGCCTGTTTTCAGGCAGCTTTATTTGCAAAAGTCTTGTAATTAAGCTCAGCCGTCATCACGTCTTTGTACGTTCAAATTGATTCTGCGTGTTATTGACGTCCCAGTCTGTGAGGCCACATAGTGTTTCTTCATTGAGCAAGCACAGCACAGCGGCAGCTCCACATACACACACAGTCATACATGCACACACACACAGCGCTGTTCTCCCACCGCTGGCTCAGCTGATCCCGCCTCTCCTCTGTTACTACCTCTGAAGATGGGGGAGAGGGGGAGGTCTCTTCATCCCACCATTATGCCTAGACGACATTCAGATTAAAAGCGAAACGTAACAGGGGCGTAAATATCATGGCTTGAAACAGCGGTTTGACTTTTTTTTTTTTTTTTTAAATCATTTGTGAATTTACAGACGATTTTAGCATTCAGACCGACTAAAGAAGCATTGCAAACAATAAGAAAAACACAATTGCTTGTCTATATCCATGTTCTGTTCTAACTTTTTGATAAAGCTTCAATGAAACATGAAAAACACATGCTCCCAACCTTCATCCCTTTTTATAAATGGGATGAATTTGCAGAACAGGACTTACCATGTTCTACTAAGGGTTGATGTGATGGGCAGTCACTATGCAAGTAGCTCTCAGAGCAAGAGTCTGAGAGAACATAATGCAGTCATCAAGTATGACAATATTTTTGCATATCTTCTATCATAAAATATGTAACATTATCAATATGTTAAGCTGATGTTTTGCTCCTGCTGGTTTTCATTAAGTTTATATTCCCTCTGGCCTTATTACATGTGTTGACCAGCTGTCACTTTGCGACTCATTGAATCAGGTTTCATGCCTCTTGCGGTCGGCATGCAGATATTGCGCAATCGCGGTCGGCGCGAGAATGGTCCGCGGAGGGTCTGAGCGCCCAGCCGAGCACCTCCAAGATTTTTGTAACAACGCGGACGCCGGGTTCATGCCGACCGCGTTGCAATGATTGGCTGCAGGGCCCAGAAGTACTTTCTTCAGGCCGTGTTGAGCAATCAGACCGCTCTGACCGCAATCAGTATGAAACGACTTAATGTTGGCGGGACCCAAGAAGCATGACAGCTCGGCGCTCGGGTCGCAGATTTATCCCCACCGCCTCCAAATATTATTATTGCAGATCTAAATGAATCACACAAATGACCTATTTGGTATCCAAAACGGCGAATTTCGCCGAAAGGTGACAAGTTTGAACCCCTGAAAATACAAAACAAATCAAAACAACCCCCCCTCAAACTTCAGCCTATTATTTACGGTCTACAATAACAACGAGGTGATTATAAGACGCTTTTACGTCTGACACTTCAGCGCTGTTTCCTCTACAGACACAGTTTCAGACTTTAAATTACACAACCATAAAAACATGAAGTTCAACGTTAATCTCCCCAAATGCTGGATGAATAAAGTTATCTGGTTAGCTTAGCTTGAGGCTAGCGTAGCATCTGGACTTAATACCCCCGCACAGGCAGCGAAGAAACATCAACATTTAAAGGAACAAAACTGCGGTCAAGCAGGATGGGACTGTGCATAGATTTTCAAATTAAAGTCCTCAGACGGAGTGTAAGTATAAAAAGCCTCCACTTACTGCACTTCCTCAGAGGGGGCGGGGCTTCAGTAGAGGGAGGAGGGGCTCTTCCTGAGACTCCACCTCCTCCTCCGCAAATCACTGCTGGGCGTGCTCCTCGTCCTCTCGCTCCCTCGCTCTTCTTGGCGAGCCTCAGGCCAGCGGCACTCTGGGTAATCTCCTGTGGAATCTGAAAGCAGAGAGGGACATTAACAGAGGAGCGCGAGGAGCTTGAAATCACAGATACTGCTGTGTATGTGTGTGTGTGTGTGTATGTAGGTGTGAGTGTGTATGTAGGTGTGAGTGTGTGTGTGTGTGTGTGTGTGTGTGTGTGTGTGTAGGTGTGTGTAGGTGTGTGTGTGTGTGTGTGTGCATGCGTGTGTGTAAATAAAGGAGTGGTGGTACCCAGTGTGGGCCTTCAAAACTGCACCACCAAAACAACTTAGCCAAAAAAAGAAAAAAAAAACAGAGGCTGTGGTTACCGTGGCAACATGTGCCAAAACTCAGGGAGCGAAAGAGAGGGAAGCCACAAAGAGAGAGAGAGTGAGAGAGTGTGAGAGAGCGAGAGAGAGAGAGAGAGAGAGAGGGAGAGAGAGGGAGAGGGGATCAGCAGCAGGATGTGTGCTGTACGGTATATCAAAAGAATGATTTATGTTCATTTCACATCATCTTACAAACATATTTAGCATTTTTTTAAATTTTAAAAATAACCCGTCCGCATCACTCACGAGGCCAGTTTAACGATGGTGAGGACTCTTCACTTTCAGTTTTAAACTTTATGAACACAAACGCTAAAAAGTACGACGGCGTCTCTGTCACTCTCCTTCAGTGCTGCTGACCACGCCGACAAGACACAGAGCTCCTCCTGCTGACCGGCTGCAGTACACTGTCGGTCATAAGCTCCGCCTCCTCCATGTTGACAGATGGGATATAATCAGGAGAAGTGGAAGCCTGAAATGAGCCGGGTCACGTGATCGAAATCACATCTTCGATGATGCACGTCGTGCACACTTCGCAATCGCCCGAGTATCCCGTCTCGCTTTTCATCATCATGTACAATTTATAAAAACAGGATTTTTAGCCCGGATGTTTTCCCATTAAGTCAAAAATCTATAAATACTAAAACTCTATATTTTACTTTCTTCTGTGTTTCAGAAGAAAGTAAAATATCTTTCTTTTTATGACCTTCATGATTTCTGCTGCAGCAACGAGAGAAATTTGAAACATGCCGATATTAAATCACACAGAAATGGTTTGGGAGTGACGCATCACGTTTCCCTGACCACCCTCAAACTGCACGTCCAACGTGATCACCGTTTATCGACCTATCACGGGTCAGGGTCACGGTGCAACGGCAAAAACTGAACCCCGACACAAAGCCGCCGTCACTTTCACAACAGGAAACCAGCAGAGTTATCACTGATCATCTTATCAGGACGTAAAACATGATAAGAAAATAGAAGAAAAAATCTAAAGTTTCTTTCTGAGAATATTCAGTCAAAACATCACGAGGCTCCTTTAAGAGGGAATCACCAGCAGTGTTTCCCCCGCCATGGGATGAGTGCATGTGGTGTGTAGGTGTGTGTTTACTCTGTGTGTGTGTGTGTGTGTGTGTGTGTGTGTGTGTGTGTGTGTGTGATGAGATCATCAGAGGAACGCAGCACGAAACAGAGAGAGAGAGAGAGAGAGAGAGAGAGAGCGAGAGGAGGTCTTTTCCTCTGAGTCTGGATCCCCCTCAGGACTGACCTCATCCTCAATCCATCACCAACCTGACACCATCCAGCTCCTCTGTGTGTGTGTGTGTGTGTGTGTGTGTGTGTGTGTGTGTGTGTTTCTGGAGCTCATCATCACTGAACTATTACAGATTAATAAAATAGAATATTTGTTCTCTGCTGTCGAGCCGTTTGCACACATGCACCTCACAGCAGGGGGAGTATCCTGTCAGAGAGGAGTGGGGGGAGGGCGGGGGGGGGGGGGGGGGGGTCTCCTGAGGTAAGACATGACGTAAAAAGAACGACGAGGAAGTGGCGGACGAAGCAAGCCTTCAGTATTAACTCATCCATTCATACACATTCACACGCCGACGCCGAAGCAGCGGCTCACACCTCAGGAACGTCTCACAGGAAGTTCTACTCGGGCTCAAAACCATCCTGGTTATCTCGTAGTGAGTCCGCCTCCTCGTCGATGAATTCCTGATGATGAGCGCTCAGACTGATGACCGTCCTGTCCATGTGTCCTCCGCTGGGCGAGCTTACACTCTCTTTGCATCATCCGTGTCCCCTCTCTGCACGCCGTGTTCATATTAAAGAGTCCCACAGATAAACCTGCTCTACGTCTCACATTAATGTGGAGGCGAGACGAGTCCCCATGCATACCTCCAAGCCGACGGGTCTCTTTAAATGTACTGAGGCGGCGGCGCTCGCCGGGATATTTTGCATATCTTAATTAGTGCTCAGAAAACATGCAAATGAGCCGCTCGGCCTTAATGAAATATCTTTGTGTGTTTTCACGGTGAGTGGCGGCGGCGAGGGAGGAGGCCGTCCGTCAGTCTTATCCTCGCCTGAATCTCATTAATGAGGTCTATTAAAGACGGGTCTTTGTTTACAGACAGTCAGCTGATTGATCCGCTTCAATCCTCCTGCTGATCATGTTCTACACGTCCATAATCCAGTCTGTTCTGTGCACCTCCATCACTGTCTGGTTTGGATCTGCGACCAAACTGGACAGACACAGACTGCAACGCACTATCAGGACTGCAGAAAAAAATCATTGGTGTCGACCTGCCCCCCATCCAGGAGTTAAACCGGTCCCGTGCCAGGAAACGGGCAGGTAGTATCACTGCAGACTCCTCACACCCTGGACACAAATTTTTCAAACTCCTCCCCTCTGGCAGGCGTTACAGAACACAGAGTGTCAGACCTGTCACTGTGAAGTAACCCTGGAACAAAACTGTCACTGTGAATGAACTTATACAATGTAACAATTCTCTTAGCAGAATTGACATATATTGTTTAATTTAAATTATCATATATGCACACTTTTTAATGTAAATACTTAAAAACATTCCTCATGTTTACTTCAGCATCTTTGCACTACTCACCACTGCACTATTATCATCCTATTTAGCCTTGTTCATATTAGCCTTTGCTTATTTGTTTATTTTTTGTGTTTATTGTTGATATTTAATATTATACATTTGTACAAAGAGAGCACAGTTTACCAAAGTAAAATTCCTTGTGTTTTTTTAGCATACCTGGCCAATAAAGCTGATTCTGATTCTGAAAAACACGCTCTGCTGTTTTATAAGTCTGAATCTGTGGAGGATTTCTTTTTGCGGGTTCTCACTCGCACGCCTTCGTCGCTCCTGTTCCTCTGACGCTGGTGTCACAGCCGCCATCCCAAACCACTCCACGGGGGTCCATCGAGACGTCAACGAAGAGAGACCACTCCCCCACCCAGAGTCTCCACCCCTCTGGTTTCCTCACGTCGTACCTACATCGGGCACAAGTCCATCCCCCTCCCTCCCCTTACCCGCCCTTCCCTCCCTCAGCACGTGAAACGGCTGAATCAACATTTCCAGCATGGAGACCGCCATGGATGGGACTCCAGCGCCCCCTGCAGGAACAGATGGGTGACGCGTTGTTGACCTCGTGCGACCTTTACACGTGTGAAACATGAGCAGAAAGGAAACATTTATTCCCACCACACAGAAACGACAGGATTAAACGTTTACCGGGTCATTAGGAGCTAATCATTTTTAATTGACCGGATTATTAAAGGTTTAACCCCCCCTCACCCCCCTTCCCCTGAGCCGAATGAAAATGCCTTCCAATCAGTGCAGTTTCTCTTTACTGAGCAGGTTTAGCGTGACAGAGACACTGAGGACGTAAATGTGTTCAAATCAACATGATGAGTTTTTACTCTGATGGGGCCGCCATGATTATGAGAAGAGAAGAAGAATCCATGAACACAAATCTGTGCGGCACAGAGGCCGTCAACCAGGCCGTCAAAACGTCCGTTACTTTGATACATTTTTGATCACTCGCCTTCACAATCAAACGACATCGTCTTCATCACGAGAAGTCACCCACAGAGTCGGCCATTGTTGTTGTAGTCCACGTACTCACTCATGTCTCCAGTTCACACGACGACAGAGACGCTGTTTTCAAAAGTTTCAGATTTCAAGCGCTCAGAATGCCGTTGTCGTGTAATCGAACAGCCGTAACACCACAAAGCTGAATCAGTCGTGGTGTAACCAGCGCCCGAGTTTAAAGGATTGTATCGTGACAACCATACTGCTAAAAGCTAAAGATGGTTGTTTACAGTCGCTCGTGAAGTCTTAACCTGGGAATAAAAAACAGCTGATTTGATCGCCTGCTGTGTTGGCTGCTGCATGAATGGAATACTTAAACACTAATAAAAGTAGGAACGTCTCGTTGAAGTGACCAGCAGCTCTCCTACATCGCTCCCATTGGTTAAAAACCTGCATCACAAACATCTCGTCTTCTTAAAGGCTTTATATGCGATTTTTTGATCCAGCAGATGTCGCCCTTGAGCACCAGCATGAAACCAAAAACAACTCGCTGCATTGTTATGTTAGCATGCTAATGCTAGCGATCTTTCATTATGCTCGTATCTTCACACTGCATGAAATTTACCCAAAATGATGGTGATCTAGAAACGCTTACGTGACATTCAATTAAGCAGCGAGTACAGTATGTTATTCTTCTTTTCTCTAGTCCCTCAATTAAACAACTTCTATACGTAAGGAGAGGAGCGGCCGGCCGTCCCGTCCATGTAAACAAAGTGAAGCTACGGCTAGGAAAGCTCGGAAAGCATCACAGACAGCGGACTCGGACCCATTGTAGACAGTCATGACTCACAGAGTTTTTTCAGAGGATATATTTGATTTCTATTACATTTGTGTGAAAGTGTGAAAAATCGCATATTAAGCCTTTAACGAGTGTTAAATTGTCGGGACGCGCTCTACAAACTCAGCGTGACATCACACCGGAAGACGAGAGAAACTCTGCATCTGCTTGTTTTTGAACACACTGTACACTGTTACTGAAGCATCAGACGTGACGAGAGACAAACAGCTCACCATGAATTAATGAAATCAGAGAGAGAGAGAGTGTGTAAAGCTGCACGCCCACACTGGCGTCCTCAGGAGCATCGCCGCCGCGGTGT